ATCATAATAAAATTTATTTATTTTTAAATCAAACGGAAATTTAACATCAGAACAAAATTATTAGAAAGAGAAGAATTCTAATATTTAAATTCATCATGCAGCAAAAAATCACGCTACGGACAAATCAAAAGTTAAAAAACAATTTCAAATGTTTCAATATCGAAAAAACTATCAAGATCTATATATATATATATATATATATATATATATATATATATATATATATATATATATATATATATATATATATATATATATATTTATATATATATATATATATATATATATATATATATAGTTGTATTTGCTAATATAATAATTATCTTCTTTGCCTACAGTATACAATTATATTGCTTTTAAGTCGTTATTCATTAATCCATTCATGCATCAAACTAATGACAATAAAGATTAAGAAACGGCTGCAAATCTTGCATTCAATGTGCATGTACTAATAACAAGTGTTCAGTGTATAAAATGAAACTGAATACCAATGATTATAAGTTGCTTTTGCAGAATTATAAATAATTTACATGAATCTTAATGTATAATTTATATTTAAAAAGAAAAACCTAACGTAAAGAAAATTGTGCTATACAGAACTCTTTAGGTGGTGGTTTAGTTGGAATTTTGCCAAGTATAAATTTAGTAGCTTTAAAAGCAGCTACATCACCATCAGTTAAATTTTTAAATTCACTAAACACATCTGAATTGCTATCATAATTAAAAAAAAAGCCCATTTTTGTTTGTTGTGCTTGTATAAATGGATTATCATTATTTTGTGTATTAGTTATGAATACATTATCGCTATTTTTTGACTTGGTATCAGTTGATATACTACTAGCATTTCCTAATAAATTTGTAGCAAATATCTTACAATCCGATGCGGCCCCTTGTTCATGGATTGTTCTAGTGTCAGTAGAAATTGCTCCTGAAGTGTTATCTGCTGGTTGAACAACATATTGTCCAAAAGCATTGTTATTAGCATTATTAGCTTGTGTGAATGGTGAGTTCATTTTAACTATATCTGCAGATTGACCAAAAACTTCCTTCACTGAACTAGTGGCAGTATTACCAAAAGGCTGATTTGTACCAGATGTTTGCCCAAATGATACATTAATAATATTTTGATTAGAAGTTATTCCAAAAGCATTTTCGCATTGGCCAAACATGGTGCTACCAGAAGCTGTATTTGCTTCAACCGACCGCTGCAGAGGAAATATAAATGCATTTGATGTTGGAGGAAATGCATTATTAACTGGAGTTGAGAATCTATTTTCATGTTGGGGAAGAGTTTGACTTATCAAATTTTGTACTTTGTTAACCTGTTGAAATATATTCTGCTCACTGCTTTGGAATAATTGATTATTTTGTGTAGAAGATTGAAACATATTTGGTTGTCCAAAACTTGGTGCCCCTCCAAAGATGTTCTGTGGTTTCTCAAAAGATGATTTTGTAAACATATTACTTTTGACAATACCTTGACTTGTATGGAATGGATTATTGCAATTTGTATTTCCATTTCCATTATATAATTCATATAAATAGTTCAACACTTCAGCTGAACCAGTTTTCAGCAATTGCATATTTCTTGTTGCTTCTTCTATTTTTTTAGCTAATGTTTCTGTCTATAAAAAATAACATAAAAGGTCAGTCAGATAACTTGAAAATAACTTACTTAAAATCAATAAATTACAAATATTTAGGCAAATATAAATTGAAGCACAAGAAAAAAAACTTCAGATAGCCAAAACTCAAACAAATTTTCCAAATGATATTGTAACAAAGAAAAATGTATACATATTGGGAAAGAAGCCCATTTGCTTTAGCCTGGTAACACTCCCATCGTACTTCCTCTGGTGAAATGTCATCAATAAACTCGGGAATTATTAATCCCAATTTATCACGAAAAGGTGCAAAACAAGATAGAATCCACTGCTTGCCATTGAGAACTGTATCAGATTCGGTTGCAACTGCCAGTCTACAATTAAATATAAACTGTAATATATTTATACTAGAAAAGACTAATTCAACAGATAATCACGTGTAGATTAAAATATTATGCACCTTATCTCATTGATTTTGCTTTCCGGCCTGTATGATGATGAAATATGTTCATTCTTGCAATTGTCCCCAAAGCGGCACATTCCGCGTTGAAAGTACGTACAAATAGCCATTACAGATTAAAATATTTCGTATTTCTTGAAATTCAATTTCATAAATAAAAATTGAATTATAACCAAATAACTCAATAATAAAAAATAAAGTATGCAGTAAAATCCTCAGGTGTAGTAATTATAAGTATGATCACTGTTCAAAAGTAAAGAGTAAATATTTCAAAAGACTAATATTGTTGCAAGGTCAGTATTTATCAAGTATAAAAATCAAAACACTGTTTATTGCCCGAAGTGCAGTCTTATTGTGAATCCTAGACAATATACTGATAATGTTGTGAATGAAGAGTGCAAGGTGCAAGAAATGACAGTACACAACACAACAACACAACCGACAGACGCCAGACGCATGCGCAGATCGACAGAACGATGGCGTCCGCCCGTTAATGGTTTGTGACTGCCGTTTAACGGTTTAGCATTTAGTTTGCTACGGTCATGAGCATAGATAAATAAGCATAAATGGTCATGAGCATGTTTACTTATCTATGGTCATGAGCTGGCGCTTGCGCCGGATGAAGGTGCGCCTGACCTAACGAACGAACACGAACAAGCAAGAACGTACGTACCAGAATAAAGGTGCACCACACCTAACGAACGTGAAACAAGAAAATACAAAGAATAACGAACACGAACACAAACGAATGCAAATAATTCCAAACAAACGCCTCAAAGCAGTGAGAGCTTAAATCTTTTTGTTCGAGGATGTATCGTGAAACGTCAGATTTTTTATTTAAAGTGGCGGGAAAGATAAAAATTATTTAAAGTCATCAAATTTACAAAATTTGTCAATAACAGCAATATCTTATAATAAACACAACATAAACTAATGCAGGACTGCACATTTTAACATCAGAAAGAAAAATGTTCATCTACATTCGTGGTAGCGTCCACACTGCACATACGAGTACAAATATGAACAAACAATTCCCTTTGATGTACCGACAAGATGCGGCTTTTTGTAGAAGCAATATTTGTGCCGGTTTTAGGTGTTTTGTCCCGGATTGTCCCCTATTTTTAAAATTGTTTTGATTGCCATTATTTTTTAACTTCCCGTAGGGTAAGTTATTGTAATCGTCCAAAAATCGAAATTGAAATTTTTTACATTTCTCGACGTTTTGAAGGTTTCTGAACATTTTGGCATACCTCAGAAAAAAAGGATGCGTGTGTGTATATGTATGTATGAATAAAAATTTTCGGCCACGTTATCGGGCGCACCGATCAACCGATTTGAATGGTTCAAAAAAATATTGATAGGGAGATGTGCTGATTAGTTTTTGGCAAAGGCAGGTCTAGCAATTACGGAGATAAAGAGCAAAGAGTGCAGAAAATAGAAATCAAGTTTTTTAGAGAGAACGGAGTATGCGATTTGAATGAACTAAAAATATTCAATTAGGAATGATTGGGAGTAGTGATTATTAGTTTTTGGTAAAGGTAGGCCCAGCAATTTCGAAGATACGGAGCTAAATGTTTAAAAAATTGCACTTTTTGAGAGAACTAAGCGTCCGATTTAAATGATTCAAAGATGCTTTCTGCTTGTTTTAATAAAATAATTGATTTTGAAAAAAAATTTGTTTCAAAATAATTTTTTTTCAAAATAATTTTTTTTCAAATTTTTTTTTTCAAAGAAAAAAAATTATATCGAAAATAAATCAAATTTTATTTTTAATTCTGACTAAAGTTATAATATACTTTAAACAAATAACTTGAACTTTGCAATTCAGTTTATATAATTCATATAAATATTAGACAATGTTACAACAATATTTTTAATAATCTATTTGAAAACATTTAGTATTTCTCGAACATTTCGTTACGGTACGGGAAGTTCCAGCAATTTGCCTTAAGGCACGATTCCATACACCCCACTAGTTTTTAATATATTTCAACTACAAATGTGTCATCATAAATAAATAAAATAAACATAAACCGGTCATTATTACCGAACAGACTCGTATATTATACAAGATGACACATTTGAAAAGAAGATATAACTTGATATGATTTGGATATGTGTGAATTTTCAACAATTTACAAAATAATAATTTTTAAAAATTAATTAAAAAATGTAAATAAAAATTACAATGAATGAATGATTTTATCAGCAGTGACGCAATATTTTCTACTTAAATATTTTCTGAACTATGGCATTGAATATTAATTCCAACATACGAAATAAGTAACTATTGTCAACTTAATAAGTAATTACTGCCAATATACAAAATAAGTAATTGTTGTCAACTTAGTGAAGGAAAAGTTTACATTTCCGCCAGAAAATCCGTTTTCTGGCGAATTCCGATTGAAAAATCTGTATTTGCATGTGTGTTTGTATTTGAGTCACAAATTTGACCTTTCATCAAAGTTATCTCAAAAATAACTGCACAAATTTTAGTAAGTGGTAGTTAACATTTTCTGCAAGACGGCAAAGCCAATTCTTTAGAAATACCAGAAAAGTTACAGTTTTCATAAAATAAGCAAGTATTGTCTACGTTTTAGCACAAATTCTGAATCATTTCAAATAATTTTCATTTGGAACAATGGGTCGAGAGTCAAGTTTTCCAAATTTTATCATCACAAATTTAAAAGTTCATATATGCACATATCACATATGTTGGGAAGATATTGTAACTTATATCAAAATGCCACTTATAGCTAGTTTAACATTTTAACTCCAGAGTTACAACATTGTGGAAATAGGTATAAAATTTGACAAGTATAAATATTTTTATACAAAAGGACAATCCATATGGATATAAACATAATTCAAGCAAGTCATCAAAAATTTTATTAAATTTCGTTAATTGACATATTAAATATGTAATATCACCTCAATTTCAGTTATAAAAATAATAGCCAACTGTTATCATTCAGAAGTATTATTTTGTCCTTCTGACTCCTTTAAATCTTGTTCTTGACTTAAACGTTGTTCTGCAGCCCGTTCCCATGCATATTCAAATGGAAATACTAATGGTTTATTTTCCTCTGGTGCCGTTTGCGCCATCTCGACCTTATGGGCAGGAGTTCCCTTCATATGCAATCGTTCTAATATGGCGGTGTTATGAACAACGGAATCAAAAGAAGTTATATACGAGAATATTTCCTTATCAGATTTCACATCCGGTACGCCCTTTTTGCTGAAAAACTGAAATAAAGTTTCATAAGATAAAATGTACATATTTATATACTCAGATACATAGAGTCTTGAATTTGTAAATACATACATACTTAAATATATATATATATATATATATATATATATATATATATGTATGTATACATGGTTTGTGCATTCTGGAGTTATTTCGTCAGGAAGGAAAACCCGACTTATTTTTATATATATGTAGATATATATATAATTTTTTTTCTTTGACATTTTTTTATATAATCTTGCATAATAATAAAGTAAAATGATATTAACAAACAAACATCAGGAAATAATCATGATTCAAAATTCTATCATCAAATTTTAAAATTTTCTAAATCATAATACTTATTCATTTTAACCATTATATACATATTAGAAAGTGTTTGCAACTTGCCTTAAGGCAAAAACTCACGTACACCTAGCTACTATATATTATATTACTTACAGAACTTATGTTTGCGCAATCTCTCATTAAAAACTCCAAAGCACTTGGATATTCTGGTCCGATTGATTGTGACACATCTATAAACCAACATTTATCTTTGTACCATAATATGTTATATTCAGAAAGATCAGCATGAATTAAGCGTGCCTGGTTGTACAATTTATGCATCATTTCGATGACTTCTTGATATGCTAAAATCCATTCCGCTGCTGATAAAATAGCGTCTTTTAGCTTAGGTGCTGGTGTATGATTTTCTCCAATAAATGACATTACTAGTATGTGTTTTTTCAAACCAATTACGTCAGGAACATTAATGCCCATATTCCGCATACGCATTAAATTATGCATTTCCTTCTCGGCCCATAAGTGTATGATTTTTCTAGGATTTTGATAAGAGAATCTATTTTTGAATCTATAATCATATTTGATGTATTTATCTCTTACTTTGAATTCATTCAAAGTTGTTTTAAATACTTTAAGGGCGCATTCTTTTGGAAGAACACACTCTGCATATGCAGGATCAGATTCAGCATGAAGAATTACAGCTTCTTTACCGGTTGATATAACGCCATTAACCTTCTGTAACAACTGATTATTGATCATTTTATAAAGTAAAAGACGGGTTTTGTGATCAACTCCCATCTCAGCAGTAGCGCAAGATTCTTTACGATCATGCATTTTCATCTTTTTATTTCTAGACTTCTCATGGTTGGAGTGTGCTCTCAAACTATTGAATACTTTATTTGATAATTGCATATCAAATCCACCCGCATCGCCTGTATGAATTTCAGGAGGAAACGCCATCACTTTGCAAGCGTTGCGACAACCCGACAGTTCCATATCATGTTTTGTTACTATTTTGCCTGTAAATAATGAAATTCTTATCACTATATAATACAAATTAATTCTTTCTGAAGAAAGAGTTTCAATGTAAAATTTTAATTAAAACAATTATTTAAAACGAGAAGGCCAGTAGTAAGATGACAGTCCCAAATTTAACAGTAAAAAAACAGTAAAATCTAAATATATATATATATATATATATATATATATATATATATTAAGAATATAAGTAATATATAGAATTAATTATGCCTTTGCAATGCCACCTCCCATACTACTAAAAATATTAAAATACCTTCAATCATTTTATAACCGCATCTAGGAATTGCCGAGTATTCTTTTTCCATTACAGTAAATCGATCCCAATTCTTAGTATCATTATCAAACCATTGATTGTCATCGTCATCTGAATCTGAAGACAACAGCTCCTCTGGGACCTTTCTATGGTTTGCATATGATACACTAACTTTTGACAAACCATTTTTCTTATTTTCTATCCTCTTCAGCTCTTCATCGTGTTCCATATCAAACTGATACTGCAACATCTGAGCAATAACAGCATCACTATCACAAAACGGAGATACTTCTTGAGTATCATCTTTATTGTCATCGAGTATTAGTACATCAGAAAAGCTCGTTGATTCATTTTTGGTCACTGTGTCATCAAATTTGTGAGCAAACTTACAGTATTCTTTTGATTGTAATTCTTTTGCAAATTCTTCTGACATGATTTCTTGCAAACTCAAAGGCTCATGTACGAGTTTCACAGATGCCCATGGACAAGCCATTATAATTTCGAGATCACAAATATATAGATAATGAAATAAATATATTAATTTAACTTTATTATATAGTTTTAGAATTTGTTTTATTTAATTTTGTACATCGGTAAAAAAATGACCATTCCCGTCAATTCGGAAACAGATATTGTTCCCGTAATATTGTGCAATAATACGACGACTCGGACGACTCGACGTCGAGGTACGTAATTTTGACAGATGGTCATCGAGCCATTCGCGCCATAGATAAAAGAATAAATAAGCCATACGACATACGACCATACAAGCCTACTACGAATTTGAAGGAGGATCGCATACAGTATTGACAACTTCAGCACAAAGTAACCAGTGAATCATAGATAAGGTAAGTAAATATTAAATTCAAAAACTGTAACTGTAAACACGACGTTAAAACATGCTAATTTTGACGTTTGGCGGTCATACAAAGGTCATTGACCTTTGATCGTACTTTTAACGGACGCTATGAAGTTGGCGTCGGAACGAGTGTTTAGCTGTCATAAATTGATCGTACATTTCACGGACGACATGAAGTTGTCGCCGACAAGAATAGTTCGGCGAAAAGAGTAGTTTAAACCTGAGAACCGAATATGAAGATCGTATACGATATAATAATATATGATGGAGATATCATATTCAAATATTGTCTAGGATCGAATCTTGCAAAGATGTTGGCCTTTAACGTCGAGATTTAGGAATTTGCAATAACAAATTATTTATATTTAATCTCTATGACAAATATTTGAGAAAGAACGAAATATAGTTATTCCAGAACATATTAAAACCAACATTACGGAGTGCTTTGATTTGGTATTCAAGTATTATAAGATCAAGTTTCAAATTTGTCATGAGTAGGGTCTCATTTGACTGCAGTTAGTTTTTACTAAATAAAGGGTAGGACGTTAATAATAATAAGAAAATAAATTCATACTAGGATTGAATGTGATAATATAGCCTACTGGCGTTAGGACAAATAAAACAATCAAATTTGCACCCACCTTTTGCAAATTATATACATTTTTAGTAATTGCACTACTCAATGGAATAAAGCAACATGTTTCAAATTTGTGTAAATAATAAACATGAGATTATTTTTGCTAACAATATAGCTAGTGTAAATGATAGCAAATTCAATAATATCATTTAGCCCAATGAATAATTTTACTAAAAATTATATTTAAACAATTTATTTTAGATCAAATACTAATAATTTCAAAGAATTAAAAAAGAATAGTACTTATTTTATTTAACATTTTTATTAAAAATCAATAATATATAAACATTTTATATTATTTGCAATATGAACCATGCAATAATAACATCCAAACGATATGAAGCATGAGAAAATTATTGCAAGCCAAAGCCAAACAGAAAGTAGTAGAGACTGATTGCTTAATATTTAGACGGAAACTTAAAAACTATACTACTTTCACAATCCAAAACCATATTGTTAAATTAATAAGATTTCTATATCTTTCGCTGTTTGAAAAACCATGACAACTCATAAAATGTATTCATGTGCATATAGCTAAATTATATTTGCAAAAGCTGCAGGTCATTCTACCTTAGAAAGTCATATGTATTAATTTGTCAAATTGATATAAATCAAATATAATGATGCCAATACAATTGGGTTTATTCTCTATTTAAATCCATTTGTATGAGTAGTCGATGCAACATATTATAATATCCTATCAAATATCATATCAAGCAAAGATCGTAATATACTGGTTCTTGATTGTGTACCTAAAAGAACAATTTACAAGTTATACAATACAGAATACAAATAATCAGTAAATATAAAGCACTACATATCTATAAAATGTTTTCTCGAGCTGAGTGGAGAATTGGGAATGGAAGATGGATTAATGTTAAAATGACGGTGTAGCAGTTTGTGAAGATAAATACATGTTGAGAGCTGAGGTTGATGATGAAGCAGGTGTAGAAATAAAGACTTGTAGGGAGCTTAAAATTGATGATAGAAGGTTGTGGAGATAAAGACGTGAAGCCCAAGAATTGAAATTGGAAAGTGATGGTTAAGATGTAGAGACATGTGAAATGGAAGAAGGTAAATTGAAGTGTGTAAAAGATGTTGAAATAAAATGTGCACGTGAAGGAAAGGATTTGCGAGGAACTATGTGGATCTGAAGAAAAGCCTAAGTGAGCAATGAAATTGATATTGGAGGGTAATGTCGAAGATGTGGACATATGTGAATTGAAAAAAGTTAAATTGAAGTGTGTAAAAGATCTCGCTGATGAATGGGTTGCTGAAGAACAAGATTTGGCAGAAACAAAGGGTAATGAAGATACATTATTGGTAGCAGCACGGATACAGTTGTGAATATATTTAACATGCCTTATTAACGACGATTTCTATTTAAATTTTTTTAAACCATGTTTCTGTCTCATGTGCCAAAAGAAAGACCCGCGAGTGGCGCAAGGTATCTGGCACTCTCGACAAAAAGAATCTCATTCAATATTCATGGCGCAAACTTGATAATAATTGAAGGAATATGATAGAATATACGTAATAACAAAAAATGCTAAACTATAAATTATAATAAAAAGCCTAGCTTAACCTAACCTAAAATCGAAGCCTAACCTAACCTAAACTTTGAGAATAAGGAAGAAAATAGGCGTTAAAAAAACGTGAAGAAGTACGAATAATAATAAAAAGTAATTAAATATTCTTAAAAAGATCCAAAAAATAATTAAACCTAATTGAAACTATACTAAAATGTATCCTAATCTAAATATACCGAATTGAAACTACACTAAAATGTATACTAATCTTAATATATGGAATATACGGAGTGATATAATAAACGAGAAAGCCTAAAAGTAAACATGAATGTAAATAGAAAAAATAATTAATTAAAAACAACGTAATAATATTAATAAACAAGAAAAAGTTCACTTGACAACAAACGACACGGACGCGTCGCAAAACGGAAAAGAACCGCCATATTATTTGACACGCTGACAGTTGATGATACTTGTTGACAGTTGGTGTACAATTCTACTGTTGACAGTTGAAGTACGGTCAAAATTAAATGGCCGATTAGCAGAAATTAATGGCTCCTTAACTGTAATACTAATACAGCTTTATCTTTTTATTGTTAAATTTATTAAATTATTATTTATTTAATTATGGTAATAAATAAAATTAAATATCAAGAAACACAAAGATAAAGAGAAAGAAAGTGAAATAAATTATTTAAAAGCTAATGTCAACAAAACTTAAGAAAATGTGACAAAGTTTTGACTAAGCTAAAAAGATACTAATTTTGAAAGCGCCATAATATCCATGATTTCACATGGAATAACTACTTGGATTCAAACAACTAAAGCTAACTTAAATGACATACAAAGAATAGTAAACAAAGCCCTAAAAACATCACAATTTTCCACATTTAACACCCACCAAATATTTACAGACAGAAACCAATATTCATTCAATAACAACAAAATAGAGAAAGGCAAATTAATACACAAAATACAGAATTAAAACAAGTATAACAATAGACATAAATCAAGATATACACGAACACTACACTAGACAACACGAAAATTTTCGCATGTACAATATATAATGAACTGCCAATCGATATTAAGAATACCAGTGACGACAATAATTTCAAAAGGAAAATAAAAAAATATTATAAAGAAAGTGAAGACAAAGAAGATTGAATAGATATTTAATAATATATTAATAATAATAAATATTATATTATTGTATAATAAAAGAGACAAATAATATGTATATATAAAATATGAAAATTGTTTCATAATCTCTCATACCAGCCACCCCTGTCTGACTGAGATATGAAAGTATATATATCAATAAAAAAAAAACACAACAATAAAATAGTAGGAATGAAGTATGTTCTACAGATACTTAACTCTTCTTAGACAAATAATTTTATCATATACATGTTACTAATAAACTAAAAATGCACAAAATTTTCAATATGTAATGTAATTCATACCACTGCTTGCATGTACATCGTAGAAGTCCTAGATGATACATACTTGTGGATATAACTTAAGTATAAGCAAAGCTAATTAAGCAAGTAAATATAATATTATTATGTTAAAAAAATAATACTAAATACTTGTAGTTAATTGTGATATAAGTATAACAATCATCTAGTTACTTTAATTAGTGTTAAACCGTATGAAACACTATTGTTGCATGTGTTAGTCCGAATTTTTTAATTCTCTATGAAGGCTAGAATTATAGCCACAATATATGGATTTTAAAATAAATTAAAAAACGTTTGTTTTTATTAATTTTACACTCAATTATTAGACCCCAAAATATGATACACAAAATGTTGCAATAAAACGACTTAGATTTTTTTGTAATAATTGTATTTTATAGTTGGGTGGAGTTCTAGGTACAATACAGACAGGTTTTAAGATACAGATATTTTCATTATATACAAAATATACACAAGATTACAATATTTCATAATTACGATGATCACATTTAGTTTTTATGAAGTTAATAAAAAATCAGTATGTCTACAATACTAACTTTTTAAATAATTCATAAAATTAACAAAGTTATAAAACATCATTCATATACATTTCATTGCCGAAAAACATTGGTAGTGCTCCTGCAACAACACTATAATGTTTTTCTGCTTTATGTGATTTCTGTAAAAGCCCTACAAATTATATACATCAAACTTACAATGCATATATATATATATATATATATTATATTATATATATATATATTTATGCATATTTTACTATATTTACATTAAATAAATTTACATATGCACATATCTATAATATTTTGGCCACAGTTATTTGTATGCGCTTATGTTCTTCATCACTTATTTTAGATTTGTGTTTATATATCTTTCTTATATTCTAATTAACATATTATGTAACATAACTCACATAAGAAATTTATTAAGATTATCATCTTATGAAAGATATTAAATTTTGCTATCTAAACATCTTAACTTATGGATATAATCTTATTCTGTACAGTAACATACAAATTTATGTAATAGATTTTATTTATACATATTTTATTGGTAGTCCCAATAACAATTTAAAATTCATGAATCATACACCATTCGTTGCACATCATTCATTGATATTCGCTAGATTTTTTT